GGCGGGGGCCGCCTGTAGTCCAGCTAGCTCGGGAGGCTGAAGGCCAGGGAATGGCGTGAATACCCCGGGAGGGGTGGGAGCTTGCAGTGCAGGACTGAGATCCGGCCACCTGGCCACCGCAGCCTGGGCGACAGAAGCGAGACTCCGTCATCAAAAAAAAAAAAAAAAAAAAAAAAAAAGAGCTGATATTTGCATTTGATGAATGCAAGGGTGCCCATGTAAAATGTGACAACCACCAAACTGTGTCTAACTTGGGACCACAAAGGTGGGTCTTTGTTGAGGGACAACCTACTGTAGACTTTGTGAACCCCAAATATATGAGATAGGTCTCCGTTAATTTAGAGAGTTTATTTTGCCAAGGTTAAGGACGCACTCAGGAGGTCCTGATGACATGTGCCCAAGGTTGTCAGGCACAGTTTGGTTTTATACACTTTAGGGAGACGTGAGACATCAGTCAACATATGTAAGATGAACTTTGGTTCCATCCAGAAAGATGAGACGAAAGGCGGGACAACTCGAAATGGGGAGGGGTAGATAAAAGTGGCTGCAATATTTTGAGTTTCTGATTAGCCTCTCCAAAAGACCAATCAGATATCCATTTATCTCAGTGAGCAGAGAGGTGAATTTGAATAGAATGGGAGGCAGGTTTGCCCTAAGTCATTCTCAGCTTGACTTTTCGTTTTAGTTTGGTGATTTGGGGGCCCCAAGGTTTATTTTTCTTTCACAACTTTTTCCTTTAAACTTGCCCAACTCTGGTAACTTGGTCAAGAAAAAGACGCACTGCCTCTGTGCTGCCAATAAACTCCTTTCTATGCAACCCGCTGGGGCTGCATCTTCCTGTACAGTGTCATGAACGGTATTGCATTCCACAGTAGCGCACAAAATCCACTTTAATAAAGCTGTTTGTTTGCTTTGTGTATCTGCTGTAAAAACCAGTAGAAAATACCCCGGTATTTTATGCACTGCATTTCAACAGATGAATCGTTAACAAACTTCTGTAAGATCAGCCTGGGCATTTGATTTCTACAATTTTTCTAAGAATTTTTAAATTTTACCTCTTACTTTTAGGAAAAATGCAACCCTAGTTCCCAAATAACATATAAATGAATTTTCAGTAAATGAGCTCTTTGTAAACTGGGAAATTACTGCGATTTGTAAATATATCTTTAAATCTATGTTCAGTTTTATGTGCCTAGGAGGATATAATCATATTCTCTAATATCTGCCACGTTGTCAGTATTAAATAAGCTCTTAAGGGCCAGATACAGTGGTTCACACCAGTAATCCCAGCACTTTGGGAGGCAGAGGTGGGCAAAACACTGAGGTCAGGAGTTCAAGACCAGCCTGGTCAACATGTTGAAACCCCATCTCTACTAATAACACAAAAATTAGCTGGGCAAGGTGGCACATGCCTGGAGTCCCAGTTACTCAGGAGGCTGAGGCGGGAGAATTGCTGGAACTCGGGAGGCAGAAACTACAGTATGCTGAGATTGCAATCACTATATTCCAGCCTGGGCAACAGAGCAAGACTCTGTCTCAACAACAACAACAAAAAATGCTCTTATAATGAAGTCTCATCAGGAGTCTGAACATCACAAGTTAAGCAGCTAATTCTCCTTGTTGTGCTTTCCCTTTTTTGACTTAGCTATCTTATTTTTTTCATATATATATATATGAAATATATATATAGGACCTGAGGTCTTGCCATGTTGCCTAAGCTGGCCTTGAACTCCCAGTTCCAAGTAATCCTCCCATTTCAGCCTCCTGAGTAGCTGAGACTACAGGCTCATGCCACTTTGCCCAGCTAGATACCTTATTTTGACTTAAGTTGCCTGGGCAGAGACCATGTCCCCTTTATTCTGGACTGAACCAAGAACATTCTCTGCCCTCAGTAAATATTTATCAGCAAAAACATCCACAGTTGATCAGAGAGTCTGAATGAGCTGGATTGAATTGTTGAGCATGTATACTGTGTCAGGCAGAAGCAGTTTGCAGCAGGACAAGGAAAGGGTCCATTTCACCCTTGAAGACATTCTAGACACTCACTCAAAATAAACTCAGTCTGAATTATCTGTGTATATTAGTCTGTTCTCACGCTGCTAATAAAGACACACCCAAGACTGGGTAATTTTTAAAGGAAAGATGTTTAATTGGACTCACAGTTCCACGTGGTTAGGGAGGCCTCACAACCATGGCAGAAGGTGAATGAGGAGCAAAGTCACGTCTTACATGGAGGCAGGCAAGAGAGCATGTGCAGGGGAACACCCCTTCATAAAACCATCAGATCTAATGAGACTTATTCACTATTGCAAGAACAGCATGGGAAAGACCCACCCCCATGATTCAATTACCTCCCACTGGGTCCCTCCCACAACACTTGGAAATTATGGGAGGTACAATTCAAGATGAGATTTGGGTGATAACACAGCCAAACCATATCATTCTGCCCCAGCTCCTCCCAAATCTCATGTCCTCACATTTCAAAACCAATCATGCCTACCCAACAGTTCCCCGAAGTTTGTTGTTGTTTTTTGTTTTTTGTTTTTTTTTTGAGATGCAGTCTTTCTCTTGTTGCCCAGGCTAGAGTGCAATGGTGTGACCTTGGCTCACTACAACTTCCACCTCCCAGATTTAAGTGATTCTCCTGCTTCAGCCTCCCAAGTAGCTGGGATTACAGGCGTGTGGCAGCACACTCAGCTAATTTTTATATTTTTAGTAGAGATGAGGTTTCACCATGTTGGTCAGGCTGGTCTGAAACTCCTGACCTCAAGTGTTCCTCCCGTCTCAGCCTCCCAAAGTGCTGGGATTACAGGCATAAGCCACTACACTTAGCCAAAAGTCTTAACTAATTTCAGCATTAACTCAGAAGTCCACAGTCCAAAGTCTCATCTGAGACAAGGCAAGTCCCTTCTACCTATGACCCTGTAAAATCAAAAGTAGGTTAGTTACTTCCTACATACAATGGGGGTACAGGCATTGGGTAAATACATCCACTCCAAATGAGAGAAATTGGCCAAAATGAAGGGGTTACAGGCCCCATGCAAGTCCAAAATCAAGTGGGGCAATCTTAAAGCTCTAAAATGATCTCCTTTGACTCCCTGTCTAACATCCAGGTCACACTGATGCAAGAGACGGGTTCCCATGGACTTGGGTAGTTCTGCCCCTGTGACTTTGCAGGGTACCGCCCCCCTCCTGGCTGCTTTCATAGACTGTCATTGAGTATCTGTGGCTTTTCCAGGTGCACAGTGCAAGCTGTCAGTGGATCTACCATGCTGGGGTCTGGAATATGGTGGCCCCATTCTCACAGCTCCACTAGGCAGTTTCCCAGTGGAGACTCCATGTGGGAGTTTCTCAAACCCCATTTCTTGACTTCTGTGTGTCCACAGGCCCAAAACAACATGTAAGCCACCAAGGCTTGGGGCTTGCACCCTCTGAAGAAACAGCCTAAGCTCTACATTGGCCCCATATAGCCACGGCTGGGACACAGGGCACCAAGTCCTGAGACTGCACAAAGCAGCAAGGCCCTGGGTCTGGCCCACAAAAACATTTTTTCGTCCTAGGCCTCCTGGCTTGTGATGGGAGGAGCTGCCGTGAAATGCCCTGGAGACATCTTCTCCATTGTCTTGGCAATTAACATTTGGCTCCTTGTTACTTATGCAAGTTTCTGCAGCCAGCTTAAATTTCTTCTCACAAAATTGGTTTTTCTTTTCTATGGCATCATCAGTCTGCAAATTTAAACATAAGTTCCAATTCCAAACCATATATTTGTGAATACATAAAACTGAATGTTTTTAACAGTACCCAAATCACCTATTCAATGCTTTGCTGCTTAGAAATTTTTTCTACCAGATGCCCTAAATCATCTCTCTCAAGTTCAAAGTTACACAAATCTCGAGGGCAAGGGCAAAATGCCACCAGTCTCTTAGCTAAAACATAGCAAGAGACACCTTTGCTCCAGTTCCCAAGTTCCTCATCTCCATCTGAAACCACCTCAACCTGGACTTCATTGTCCATATCACTATAAGCATTTTGGTCAAAGCCATTCAATAAGTCTCTAGGAAGTTCTAAACTTTCCCACATTTTCCTGTCCTCTTCTGAGCCCTTCAAACTGTTCCAACCTCTGCATGTTACCCAGTTCCAAAGTCGCTTCTACATTTTTGGGTATTTTTATAGCACCCCCCCAACTCTACTAGTACCAATTTACTGTATTAGTCTGTTGTCATCCTGCTAGTAAAGACATACCCAAGACTGTGTAGTTTACAAAGGAAAGAGGTTTAATTGACTCACAGTTCCACGTGGGGAGGCCTCACAATCATGGCAGAAGGCAAATGAGGAGCAAAGTCATGTATCATGTGGTGGCAGGCAAGAGAGAGCATGTGCAAGGGAACTCCCCTTTATAAAACCATCAGATCTCATGATACTTATTCACGGGTAAGACCCACCCCATGATTTGACTACCTCCCACCGGGCCCCTCCCACAACACATGGGAATTATAGGAGCTGCAATTCAAGGTGAGATTTGGGTGGGGACACAGCCAAACCATATCACTGTGACTCTTCTGCACAGCCTGTGCCTACAGGAAATGGGTGTAAGGTGGCCATTGAAGCACCTTTTCTGCTCTATAGATCCCAACTAACACTAAGACAAAAAATGTATTAGTATTTATACCTTGCTTTTTTCTCCCAAAGTATGATTTCAACAAATTTCCTTCCTTAGAGATGTCATTAAGGGCTGAGATGTGTACCTAACATACCTGCCAATAAGAATGATGTGCCAGGAACCTACAAAGAGTTACAAAACAGGGAGAAGGGAGTTCATTTCTATTTGGGTGGGGAGGGGAATGTGGAGGTAGCTCTGAGCTGGTCGTTGAAGATGAGCAGGATTTTGAAGAGCTGGGGGAAAGGACATTCCAGTAGGCAGAAAGGCAGCATGTGCTAGACCAGGGGGACAGGAAACACCCATCTTTTTAACTCCTGATCGCCAATGTCTTGTGTTTCAGAAGAAAGCCAGCCGCCACATAAAAGGTGAAGACAAGAACAAAGCCACCAGCAGGAGCATTGGATTAGACACAACCACATCACAACCTGCAGAGAGCAGACACCCGCCTGAGGAGTGCCGCCTTTCTCCCTCCAGGGAATGCTGGACAAGGGAGGGGACGCTGGCACAGCACAACAGTTTCTCTGGGTTCAGCAGCAGTGACAGCGTCCTCCGGGAATTAGACGACGGACAGTTTGATCAGGAAGATGGAGTGACTCAGGTCACTTGTATGTGAGCCATGAGATGAAGCAAAGGAAGGTCTTGTAAATAATTGTTAAAATAATTGCTAACTGACCTTATTGTGTTATTTTCTCTGCATTTATATAATATTTTTGAATTTTTCCAGACTCAGCCTTTCCTTTAATCTATGTAAACTTTGGCACAACCTCCCAGACAAGGAAGAATAACCAACATATTTATACATTTAGAATCACGTTTACACTCCTCTCAACTAAAACATCTGGTTAAACAGATGTTCCATTCGATTATTACACAATAATCTATTTCAGCTTCTCATGAATGTACAAAGTAGACTTTTCTTACAATTCCTGGTAAGGAAATTGAATATCTCAAACAGTATTTTACCTAATTAGAGGGAGTTCTCAGGAAGTTACAGTCTTATTTAAGCTGAAAAATAATCTCTTTCTTTTTTTCTCTCTCTCTGTCACACACACACACACAGCTAATTAGTGAAAATAAATAGCTATTTTCCAAATATAATAATTAATCCACATTTTATCTTTAACTATAGCATGTATATACAAAGCAAGCCCCTATGTGTTAAAATATTTTTTGAAAAAAAATTTTTTTATATATCTTTGCTTTTAAAGGGTCACCATGTCACCAACCCTGTACTGATTCATTGCACATAAATGTTGTTGCTCCTAAAAGCCTAAAAATGCGGACAGTAAAGCAGCATCTCTTAAAATTCAATATGAAAAGAACCCATAATCTCAATAAATAAATACCTTAGTAGAGAGTAAGATTTAATTTTTTTTTAAAGTCTAAATACTATTAAGAGGAAAAACACCAACTTCAAGTGGAAACTGAAGTATTTTACATCTGTCTAGATTTGAATTCTGCTTTTATTTTGACTTGCTAAATCCTGAAGAATGTTGAAACCTAGAATTTTCAATCAGGCAGGAGTAGAAAGATGCTCATAGCACACGCAATATGTATGATAACCTATTTTGTTTCACCTTGCTTTTCTTTCCCCTTCTAACAGAGGTAACTTTGCCTTGACCCAGTCTTTAACAATCTTTAAAATTCTACAAAATAGAGGATTTTCATTTGTCTATGAAAGGCTTACTTTGAAAGATGAAACCTTCAAGTGAATTACAACTTACTCTATCATTGATGAATTCAGCCTACTATATATTTTTATTAACATTGATGTTGACATTGTAAGATCATTTTAATAATAAAACATCATTTTTATTGGGTTATTGTTTTGTTGAACACAAATATTCATATAATATGTTTGGTTTTGGGGTTTTTTGTGGCTTTTTTTGAGACAGAGTCTCGCTCTGTCACCCAGGCTGGAGTGCAGTGGCACAATCTCAGCTCACTGCAACCTCCCCCTCCTGGGTTCAAGCGATTCTCCTGCCTCAGCCTCCAGAGTAGCTGGAACTACAGGCAGTGTGCGCCACCACGCCCAGCTAATTTTTGTATTTTTAGTAGAGATGGGTTTTCACCATGTTGGCCAGGATGGTCTCGATCTCTTGACCTTGTGATACGCCTGCCTCATCCTCCTGAAGTGCTGGGATTACAGGCGTAAGCCACCATGCCTGGCCCTCATATAATATGTTTTATACATATAACAGATATGTATTACATGTTATCAATTATATAGTGTATCTAAACTAAGTCAATCTTCATTAATTGCTGATAAAATTAACAGGAGTTATTCCACTTTTATCATCCAGAAGTACAGTATAAAGGAATTTAAGAATATTCCTCTCACTCTTATTCTATAGCAATAGCTGTCAACAATATTTGCAGAAATGGTTTTTGTTTTGACTTTTAGATGGACTTGAGTTCCATAATCAAGAGTTAGTGGATTTTTGGTAGAAATAAGCACTGCTTCCGGAGTCCACAAAATGTAATGAAGTTAGGAAGCACAAAGAACAAATCAGAAAGTTCGTTTTTCCCAATGCCAGGATCTACAAGAGGTAGAGACTTCTTTATCATTCAGTCCGTATACACAGAGGATTGGAAGTAGTAAATTAAAAACAGACAGAAATTTATATTTGACTAAGAAAAAACTCAGAAATATAGCATTAATTTTTTTTTTTTTTTTTTTTTTTTTTGAGACAGAGTCTCACTCTGTCGCCCAGGCTGCAATCTCGGCTCACTGCAACCTCAGCCTCCCAGGTTCAAGTGACTCTCCCGCCTCAGCCTCCTCAGTAGCAGGGCTTACAGGCATGCACCATCATGCCTGGCTAATTTTTGTAATTTGGGTAGAGATGGGATTTCACCATGTTGGCCAGGCTGGTCTCAAACTCCTGGCCTCAAGCAATCTACCTGCCTTGGCCTCCCAAAGTGCTGGGATTACAGGCGTGAGCCACTGCGCCCAGCCATGATAGTGAATAATTTATGACCAAGTGGTTCTAGAGCATTTTAAATATGCGTAAATAGCTCTGAGCCTATTCTTTTAAAAAAGGAACAAAGCTTAGGCTCTCTATGCCTAAGGAGTTAAATGTGTCTAATCTTATCATTATCTGCCAATTGTATATTCAGTTCTTTTTATAACACTATAGATTTCCTTAGGGGCTCTGGCATGTGAATTTTTTAAACCTGTAAGTTATAATGAAAGGTATCAAGATCCCAGATGTCGGGTGAAGATCTGTCATTCCCCTTGATGTAGTATCTACGGCATTTTCATCTTCGTTTTCAATAACCAAATGTTAATTCCATCCCCTTTGGATTGAGTATCACCCTGTTATCTTTCATGGACACATTTAACACCTACCTCATCACGGGGGAAATCAGCTCTGTCAGCGCCACTACAATTCATTTCAGTGAAAGAGAAAAGGAAAGGTCACTCTCTTTGAGAGATTCTAGGGCTTTTAGGAGAAGGAGAAGCAAATCATTTGTGCTATCAGGAGTAGGTGTTTATATATTTGAATATAAATGTATTTTCATTTTCATGCATTTTCATTTGTTTCATTCTGGAGTGCCGGAGGAGCTGTCCTGTTTTCCTACTCTTGCCTGTTATTGATTCCTCACCACCATTCCTTCGTGGCTGGAAGGACGGTGGCTCTTTCCCTCCCCATATGGCTAAAGAGGATTTCTTTCTCTTAACTCTTCAGAGCCCCAGAGTAGTACTGTATGGAAAGAGTAAATTCAGATAGAGAATCAAATGAAGTGAAATTGCTAACAGTGGGGACAGTATATAACTAAGCACACATTATATAAAAATTTACTAGTGGATACATAGAAAAACTGGCTAAATGTTACTCATCAGAACTTGTAACATATCGATTTAAATAACATTTGCTGGTAATCTATCATCCCTTGAGAATGAATTTTTTTGTGCAATAGTGCAAAGTTTGCAGAACCAGGTCTGTCAGATGCTTAAGTTCTGAGATGGTGTTTGTGGCAGAAAATTAGGCAAAACTGTAAAACAATGAGCCTTAGTTTTGGTGAGGTTCTTAAAAAGTTTTGGTGAAGACGACTGCAAAAAAATGGGTTCTAAAAATGTTTTGAGCATTCAAATTATTGTATATAAAAATACCAAGTAATTAAATCAATAGAGGGAATAAATAAATAATTTACACGTAAGATAAATGTATAAGTATCAAGGTGAGTTTTTTGTTTGTTTGTGACAGAGTCACACTCTGTTGCCCAGGCTGGGGTACAGTGGTGTGATCTCGACTCACTCACTGCAGCCTCTGCCTCCTGGGTTCAAGCGAAATTTCCCCACCTCAGCCTCCCAAGTAGCTGGGACTACAGGTGCACACCACCACACCCAGCTAATTTTTCTATTTTTAGTCAAGTAGGGTTTCACCATGTGGCCAGGCTAGTTTTGAACTCCTGGCCTCAAGCGATCCCCCTGCCTCGCGCTCCCAAAGTGCTGGGATTACAGGCATGGGCCACCACGCCCAGCCAAGGTGAGTTTTTGAAGGCTTACATAAGCCACATTATTACCTGTAAGCAATAGAACTTAACTTGGCTTATTTAGCAATAAAGGAGTTTTTTGTTGTTTTGGTTTTTTGTGGGTTTTTTTGTTTTTGTTATTTTTTGTTTTTTTGAGACAGATTCTCACTCTGTCACCCAGGTTGAAGTGCAGTGGCATTATCATCGCTCATTGCAGCCTCAATCATCCTGGGCTCAAGCGATCCTCCTACCTCAGCCTACCGAGTAGCTGGTACTACAGGCATATCCCACCACACCCGGCTAATTTTTGTATTTTTTATAGAGACAGGGTTTCACCATGTTGCCCAGGCTGATCTTGAACTCCTGGGCTCAAGCAATCCCTCCCACCTTGGCCTCCCAAAGTGCTGGGATTAGAGGCATGAGCCACCGAACCCAGACCAATAAAGGAGTTTATTTCAAAAGATATCTGGAGGCCAGGCACGGTCACTCACACCTGTAATCTCAGCACTTTGGAAGGCTGAGGAGGACGGATCACTTGAGGCCAGGAGTTCCAGACTTTTGTTCTACAAAAAATACAAAAATTAGCTGGGCATGGTCACTGGTGCCTGTAGTCCCAGCTACTCGAAAGGCTGAGGTAGTAGAATCACTTGAACTCAGGAGGCGGATGTTGCAATGAGCCCAGATCGCACCACTGCACTCCAGCCTGCGCTACAGAGCGAGACTCTTCCAAAAATAAATAAATAAATAAATTGACTGAGATCTGCTTCAGATATTTGGGGTTCACGATTTTTTATTTCCATGCTGAGTTACAGGGGTGAGCCACCGTGCCCGGTCAGGTCTCAGTCAATTTATAAAGTTTATTTTGCCAAGGTTAAAGACTCGCCCGTGACCCAGCCTCAGGAGGTCCTAACGACACGTGCCCAAGGTGGTTGGGGCACAGCTTGGTTTTAAACATTTTAGGGAGACATATCAATCAATACATGTAAGATGTACATTGGTTCAGTCTGGCAAGGTGGGACAGGGGAGAGGGCTTCCAGGTCGTAGGTGGGTAACAGGCCAACAGCTGCATCCTTTTTGTTTTTGAGACGGAGTCTTGCTCTGTCGCCCGGGCTGGAGTGCAGTGGCGTGATCTCGGCTCACCGCAACCTCTGCCTCCTGGGTTCAAGCGATTCTCCTGCCTCAGCCTCCCGAGTATCTGGGACTACAGCTACGCGCCACCACACCCGGCTCATTTTCACATCATGAACTCTAGGGTGCTTGTGAGGCCTTGAATGTTTACTTGCAAATCACTAGACCCTGAGGATTGGCAGAGGAAATGATGCCTTGGACTTAGAGGGCCTTGACAGTCAGAAAGGCACAATCCAAAATCCCGATCTCAAAATAGAGATGCGTTGTGCAAATCCGGAGTTAACAGTTAATGCAGCTATATTGGCTTGTGATAAAAAATAGCCATCTAGGTGACTCCAGGCCCTGTGACTCCGGAGGCCTCCTTTGAACCATGGAAGTCCCCATTCATTGAGGGGTTTAGCCTCACTGTTTACAGCAATCCAGAGAGTTTCAAGGAAAAGTTCCTTCGCAAGACACGCAAGAACCTGAGGGTACCCATAGGTTGCCTGGGCACGGCGGCCGCCCTCACCAAAGGCCTCTACTGCTTCCACCAGGGCCACAGCCAGCACTCTCAACTCACGATGCTCACACCTGGATCTCCGCGCACGGCTTCACAGTCGCAGCCATCTTGCTGGGTCTAGTTGCAACTGCTATGAAGTCTCGACCCCCAGCCCAGTCTGGCCTTGAAAGCTTCACAGAGATCATTCCAAAACCCAGGAGCACCACTGGCCCTACCATGGGACTTATTCCCTCCTCTCCTTTGAGAGGCCCTGTGTCCTTGGGGGAGAAAGTAAGCCTTTGTGTAATCATAACTGAAAGATTTTTTCAAAAATTCCAGATTCTGTTTGACTGTTACGTACTTTTTTTTTTTTTTTTTTAAGAGGGAGTCTCGCTCTGTCTCCCAGGCTGGAATGCAGTGGTGCAATCTCGGCTCACTGCAAGCTCTGCCTCCCGGGTTCAGGCCATTCTCCTGCCTCAGCCTCCTGAGTAGCTGGGACTACAGGTGCCCGCCACAGCGCCCGGCTATTTTTTGTATTTTTAGTAGAGAAGGGGTTCACCGTGTTAGCCAGGATGGTCTGGATCTCCTGACTTCATGATCCACCCACCTCGGACTCCCAAAGTGCTGGGATTACAGGCGTGAGCCAACGCGCAGGGCCAAATGTTACATACTTCTATTTGTGCCACATCTCCTCCACTCCCCTGCTTAATAAACTCTAATCCACTTGTAGTACAGTGAGAAAAATAGCCATCTAAATGAAAGTGAACTGAGAGGGGTACTTACTCAACTAATATTGCTGCCTACAACCTAAACCAACACAGTGACCAATTCTAGTGTCCTTTCTAAAGATTAAAAAAAAAAAAAGATAAAAAAGCAAAAAATAGCTATAAAGATTAAAACATGGATGGGCGTCCGCCATTGCTGAGGCTTGAGTAGGTAAACAAAGTGGCCAGGAAGCTCAAACTGGGTGGAACCCACAGCAGCTCTAGGAGGCCTGCCTGCCTCTGTAGACTCCACCTCTGGGAGCAGGGCATAGCTGAACAAAAGGCAGCAGAAACTTCTGTAGACTTGAAGGTCCCTGTCTGACAGCTCTGAAGAGAGCAGTGGTTCTCCTAGCACGGTGTTTGAGCTCTGAGAATGGACAGACTGCCTCCTCAAGTGGGTCACTGACCCCCATGTGGTCTAACTGGGAATACAGATAATTATTTTACATAAAGCATACTGTATGAGCATGTTCCTCTGATACAAAAAAAGGCAGAGATAATACTATAATCTATAACGTAAACTAGAATTAAGTAAATATTTTTAAGTGTTATATAAGATATAGGTGACTCTCATGAGGTCCACCCAAAATAAAATAATACGTACTCTACTTGGCCGGGTGTGGTGACTCATGCCTGTAATCCCAACACTTTGGAAGGTCAAGGCCGGCGGATCACCTGAGATCAGGAGTTCGGGATCAGCCTGGCCAAAATGGTGAAACTCCGTCTCTACTAAAAATATAAAACTTAGTCGGGGGCCGGGCGCGGTGGCTCAAGCCTGTAATCCCAGCACTTTGGGAGGCTGAGACGGGCGGATCACGAGGTCAGGAGATCGAGACCATCCTGGCTAACACGGTGAAACCCCGTCTCTACTAAAAAAATACAAAAAACTAGCCGGGCGAGGTGGCGGGCACCTGTAGTCCCAGCTACTCGGGAGGCTGAGGCCGGAGAATGGCATGAACCCGGGAGGCGGAGCTTGCAGTGGGCTGAGATCTGGCCACTGCACTCCAGCCTGGGCGACAGAGCGAGACTCCGTCTCAAAAAAAAAAAAAAAAAAAAAGAAAGTAGCAGAAAAATCATACCAATGAAGAGTAAGGCTCCACAATGAACCTAAAACCCTCTAGGGGATTCACTTGGTAGCTTTTCAGTTTCATAGTGTACTCTATACTAATAATGCATATTTTTTCAGGAAAACAGATTTGAATGTTCTTATCATCTCAAACTGCTAAGCATATTGTACAAATACATTTTTTTTTTGGTTTTGTTTTGAGACGGAGTCTTACTCTGTCACCCAGCCTGGAGTGCAGTGGTGTAATCTCGGTTCACTGCAACCTCCACCTCCCAGGTTCAAGCTATTATTCTGCCTCAGCCTCCCGTGTAGATGGGATTACAGGCATGCATCACTACACCTGGCTAATTTTTGTGTTTTTTTTAGTAGAGATGGGGTTTCACCATGTTGGCCAGGCTGGTCTCGAACTCCTGGCCTCAAGTGATCTGCCCACCTTAGCCTCCAAAGGGCTGGGATTACAGAGGTGAGCCACTACACCCGGCCCATATGTATTGTCTGTTTAGTTAACAATTAGATGCTTGAAGAAATAAAAATCCACTACTTTTACTAAAATATTTGCATGACATGGAAGAACTACACACAAAAATCTTTAGCACATTCAAGAAGTATTCACAAAATAAAGTATATACAATTTAAAATTTAGCTGCTCAAAAAGATGTCATCATATAGACGGTAGGGCAAAGTACCCAAATAAAAAACTAAGTTCTATGATTACAGTGAATTTGACATCAACCAGTAAATGTATTTATAATCGCAACACAGTCCTTACTAACAATGTAATCAAGGATTTTTTTTTCTTTTTGAGACAGAGTTTTGCTTGTTACCCAGGCTGGAGGGCAATGACGCGATCTTGGCTCACCGCAACCCCTACCTCACCGGTTCAAGCGATTCTCCTGCCTCAGCCTCCCAAGTAGCACCGCGCCTGGCTAATTTTTCTATTTTTAATAGAGACAGGGTTTCTCCATGTTGGTCAGGCTGGTCTCCAACTCCTGACCTCAGGTGATCTGCCCACCTTGGCCTCCCAAAGTGCTGAGATTACAGGCCTGAGCCACTGTGCCTGACCAAGGATTTCTAATTGTATTCTGATAGTAAAAGTTGTTAAGTCATCAAGAATTTAACTAAGAAACTGTTCTAGAAATTCAAATTTGACATCTCAAGTAAGAGAAAAGGAAATGTATATACACAAAAGAAGTGTTACTTATGGGAACATAATTAAAAGTTAGCTACTTTCCTAGATATGATAGAAAAAAAAGAATGAATTGACTATATGATCTTTTGGAAATAAAAACCTAAGTTTACCTTTGGATATACATAGGATAATTCAAACAAAAAGTGGAACCTAACTTCCTTATCACACAGAACTGTCCTTTTCCCCTCTTCTTAGAACACTTACTTTTATAAATCATTGGTTTGCCAGGCTCATTAATTTTTTAGTAGTATTTATGTATATATAAGTACCTTTTCAAAATTCTGAAAACAGTATTAAGGAAAAACAGGAACTGTTTCACTTAGGTCTTACCTAGTACAGTGAATCAACTTCACAGTGCAATGAATACTAGTAAGATATCAACATGAATACAAAAGCAAGACTACAAACTGATTATTTTCTTTTGGAGCTGTTTTATGATCAATTCCAAACATACAATACAGGGAAGGTGAAATGAGTAAGAAAAAAATCATATTTAATTCCCCGTTAACACTAAGCCATATTATTCAAAATGTGTTTCAAAATACTCAGCCAGATCACCAAATCTCAGTCACTACCTTAGTATAAATATTCACTAGGAAAATAGTCAAGCAACAGAAATCCATTGTGAGACACCATCTAGAGAGAACAGCTACACTGCTATATATAATTTATTAACTTAGTAGTTTAGTCTCTCAATATTTAGCAAGTTTGTTTAAAAATTACCATTGGTTTATAGTGTCATTAATATAAATCCATAATTTCAAAGTCAACATTCCTTTCACTGTGAACATAAGACTTCGTAAAAGCTGGTTGTGGGTTGGGGAACAGTAATGACTGGCTGGTGGGAACTGTTAAAAGCCAAAAAGACTGGCAAGCTTGGAAAGGCATACATGATATATAAACACACTCTCAGTATACTACTGTTCTCCATATTTTTGCTGTACATTCTTGTCTCAAAAGATGGTATAAATTATTCCCTTAAATTTGAAAAAACAATTAAGATGAATACATTTTCATCTTCATTTCAAAATTACCCTTTTAAATAAAAAAGAAGTTCCTCATGTTTGTTAAATCTGTTCAAAAGTTGGATTTAAATACTTTCTTCACAACATGTACAATGTTTTCACCCTTAGTGCCTCATTACAATCAGTTTGGCAATAAGACCTCCAGTGCTTTATCAAAAATGGCATTCAATAGATTATAAGATTGTTGAATCTGCATTTGAATTATTCTTATCACAATGAATTATAACAAAGTCCAAAAACTGTATGACTATTCATCAATACCCTTGGAACCTATGAATTATTGCAAATAATCTCACACGTGCATGTAATTCAAACATAAACTTCATGGGAGAGGGGGTGTAAAATAAATACTACAGTATTTCTTCAATTCTATTTAATGCTGCCTAGCTGGTTAAATGAAAGATTAATATTACTAACAGGAAGAGTCAAACTATTTTAAGGACTGTTTTCTAAGTAGAATAATTTTTGCAAAAGAAAGATAAGCAAGAGCCTATGCAAATACATTTTCTTGTAGTGTAATGTAATTGCTAATATGAGGTATAATCTGTAAGCAATTAATACAAATATAAATAGGTATAAGCCACCACTAACTCAGTCTGGTGAAAAGCTTCTCAGTTAAAGTATTTTGAGGATAAGGTTAAGGGAAATGAGAAGGGGTAGACAGGGCAGGTTTCCAGTGAGAACATAATTTATGTGCCTTATCATTATGATCATCCTGTATGTACCAGTCCATTGTTGCAGAAAGGTAAATCCTTTCCAAGTATGTTATACTTTATGTTACACAGTAAAATTATTTAAGTATTACTAATGCTTCATCTGCATTTGTATTTAGATATACACATAATTATATATGCATATCAAAAACTAGAAACAGAATTTTAAAACACTTTTATCTCAATTGGGGAAAGTTAACAGGTAAGACAAAACTATGTACTATAGAATTTTTTAGGATATCTAAACTCAAGGTAAAACCAATGGAAAACATTTCTACCTCTTCAGTAAATGGCTTGTGTGAAACCTCAAGCTCTCAATCATTTTTTTTACAGATGGGTTTGTTTGATGAGGATTGTGATCCAATGATTGTTTAGCAGCAATTTTACCAAACTGTAAATTCTTTTATTAACAGGCATTATAAACAGATAATACTAATCTTATTTAAAAACCATGAGTGCCACACTGGTGAATATACAGCTTATGAATAACTTAAAAAGTATTTCCCATTTTAAAAGGCAAACCCAGCATACAAAAACCTATACTAAACAAAGAAGCTATAATATGGATACATGATTGATGTGTCTAAAATGATATATACAGTACATAATTAACGTTAATTATATGATCAGTACATTTTTCCATATGATTCCCTTCATGCTTCACTTTCCCCAGAAACTGAATTCTGTACTTCCTCTTCTAAAATTGGTACAATCAGGTTATCCTTGGACATCAAATTGTATTTCATCACAAATTTAGTAAACCGATGACACAAAAATGTTTCATTCTGTAGAGAGGAAGACAAAAATATTATTTTAATTCACTATCCCAAACCAAAAGACTACAAATAACATCAATATATATTATGGTCATTCTGATAAGAATGTATCAAGATTAATTAGTGAAATATACTTACTTCATATTCATCAAATATCTGCCGATGATGAAAATAAGCATGTGAAAATATTCTGTAAATCCTACGGCATACTGATCCTAGTTTCGCTACAGATGATTCCTTTATGCTAACTCTAGAAGTAGAAAAGAAACCATAGATTCTTAGAACTGGATGGAATCTTAGGAACAATATAGTCCAATTTTCTCAGTTTACAAGTGTAGAAACTGACACGTAGGGAAAATAAGTGACTACTCCGAGGTCACACTGCGAGTAAATGCCTGGAGCCCCTACTCCTCACTTCTGGGCCAGTGTTCTCTCTACCTAATCACAGGGCCTAAGTTAAATTCAGCATTATAGTTTTGAAACTTTGTAAAAGTTTAACACAGTTAGAGTAAGTCCCTGACATTTCAAAACTTACTAAAACATCTATTTCCAACATTAATACATTGTCCACTAGAGGCGATTAAAACTCCTGAAAGGAATTATTGTTTTCTTTTACAGAACTAGGTTATTCTTTCTTTCTTTTTTTTTTTTTTTTTTAAAGAAATTAAGGTCGGGTGTGGTGGCTCACGTCTGTAATCCCAGCATTTTGACAGGCTGAGGCAGGTGGATCACCTGAGGTCAGGAGTTCAAGACCAGCCTGGCCAACATGGTGAAACTCCATCTCTACTAAAAAATACAAAAATTAGCAAGGCATGGTGACAGGCACCTGTAATCCCAGCTACCCGTGAGGCTGAGGCAGAAGAATCGCTTGAACCCGGGAGGCAGAGGTTGCAGTGAGCTGAGATTGTGTCACTGCACTCCAGCCTGGGTGAGCAAGACTTCATATATAAAAAAAAGAGAGAGAGAAAAATTAAAATTGTTTACTTAAAATTGAAATTGTCTGCATATTTCTGGTATCCTTTTTTAAAATATGTATACACAGAATATTAAGGCCAAAAACCAGTATTTTTCTTAACATATTTTATACGAGCTCTTTGAAGCTAATCATATTTGGGGGGAAAAATCTCCAAATCTATCCGTCTGGTAACAAATACCTTAATAAAATAAAAGCCATTCACAAACTTCACCGATAATATATTACATAATATATTTAAGATCCGACTTCTCAGATCTTAAAAATCAATGAGCAAGGATAAGGAATTTTTCAAAAACAAATAGTTCAACTTAGGAAAGTCTGCTCTCTTTTTTTTTTTGAGACAGAGTTTCGCTCTTGTTGCTCAGGCTGGAGTGCAATGGCGCGATCTTGGCTCATCACAACCTCTGCCTCCTGGATTCAAGCGATTCTCCTGCGTCAGCCTCCCAAATAGCTGGGATTACAGGCACTCGTCACCATGCCCGGCTCATTTTGTATTTTTCGTAGAGAAGGGGTTTCTACATGTTGGTCAGGCTGGTCTCGAACTCCCTATCTCAGGTGATCTGCCCACCTCAGCTTCCCAAAGCGCTGGGATTACACGCGTGAGCCTGCGCCCGGCCGGAAAGTCTGCTCTTTAGGCATACTACATAAAGGGAGGCCGAGTCTGATATCATAGAGATTCAAGTGAGCAAGTATATACATATCCCAACGCTAAAGTATGAGAGGGAGAGCTCTGCAGAATGACACACATGAACAGGTGCTAGCCTTGGATTGAACTGGCCTTGAGCTTTGACAGCTGAGTCCTGCTGTTTAACTACAGTCCTAATTTCAAAACTTGAATAAACAAGCCAAAATACAATAGCTAAAAAAAAATACAAAAATGCATTAACAAGCAACCTAATGTTACTTTTAAAATACTAATCTTATAAATTAAATCTAAAATGTTTAACATTATGTTTAAAAGTTTCCATTACCTGCTGGGAAAATATTTATTGCTATTCAGAAGACATGCAGCACCATCAAGTGTGTGTCTAGTATAGTCTATAGCAGGACACTACAAAAGAAAGAATATAGAAATGCATCAACAAAGAGCTCTCTCTTAGGTTAGATATATTCATTATATGGGTATACCTTATTCCAAAGACATGAGCATGTTATAAGAAAAAAGTTCCTTACAATTTCCGAATGCTTGTAAAATATGTCATATTAATAAGTAAGGTTTATTATCCCCTTGAACCATATCACAATTCTAGATGATACATAAACCAGTCTCCCATTTTTATTCCCAACATCATACCTACAAGAAAACAACAATTACAGATAAGAAGAATCCTGATTTATTTCTGGTCTCTCCAGGGATGCCTTCTTATATCCTAAACAATATCTCTTACTATGTCCTTGGTACTCTATTATCAATCTAGCAGCCCTCTAAAGAACTTTCTCCCAAATCACCTTTGAATTTTAACATGAAATATCAAAGTTTCCTTATAGTTTAACAAATCTGACTTAATTCTGTTCCATTTATCAGAAACACTGAAAAAAAGAAACAATGAAACACTGTCTCATGGCAACTCAGTAAATTTATTAAAGGAAAAACAAAACTGCAAAGTAATTGTCCTCCTCCAGTCCTCCTGAGGGCTGACAGGGAGCAGCATCAAGGGGAAAGCAGTCTAGAAACAAACCAGGGAGTCAACGAGAAGGAAAAAACAACTAAAGGAAGGAGTAACAATGAGTCTAGCTCAATGACTCTACCCAGTAATTAGATTATTTTTCAAGTTTCAGACTGAAACTGTCACTTAGAAATACAGTTTAATAACTACTAAATATGGCTTAGTGCCATGGCACTAAAAAATTATCTAACAAAAAAGAAGTATTTTTCTAACAATATATCCATAGGAATTTTTGATTAGTGGAGTCATTGCCAAAAACAGTACCACGAGCAATATTTATTGAAAAAAACTACCTTTCTCCAGATATGTGACCACAGATGAGTTGGTCAAAAGCAAATATTCCAAGTCACTGTATTTCTCATATTTGTCATTTGGGTACACCATGGGAGTTTTACAACCTTTAAACCAGAACCATCAAGAGGAATACAGCAGACCCTTGAACAACACAGGTTTGAACTGCATAAATCTACTTATGCTCAGATTTTCCCAGAGACGGCAAGACCAACCCCACTTCTCTTTCTCCTCAGCCTACTCAACGACATGAACACAACAAGGAAGACCTTTATAATGATCCACTTAATGAACAGCAAATATACTTTCTCTTCCTTATGATTTTTCTTAAAAAAAAAAAAAAAAAAGAAAGAAAGAAAGAAAGAAAGAAAGAAGGTCTCACTATGTTGACCAGGCCGAACTCCTGGCCTCAAGCGATCCTCCCATGATTTTCTGAATAACATTTTCTTCTCTCTAGTTTACTTCATTGCAATACACTATATAATACATAGAACATACAAAATGTGTGTTAATTAACTATTATCGGTAAGGCTTCCAATCAACAGTAGGCTATTGGTAATTAAGTTTTGGGGGAGTCAAAAGTTATACTCAAGATTTTCAACTGCACAGAGGGTTGGCATCCCAATTCCAGAGTTGTTCAAGGGTCAACTGTATAATGCAAGCCATATATTTAATTTTAAATTTTCTAGGCCCAACGTGGTGGCTCACGCCTGTAATTCCAGCACTTCAGGAGGCCAAAGTGGGAAGATCACTGAGTCCAGGAGTTCAAGACCAACGCAGGCAACACAGGGAGATGCCCCTATCTCTACAAAAAATTTGAAAAATTAGCCAGACATGCTGGCACATGACTGTAGTCCCAGCTACCAAGAAGGCTGTGACAGGAGGATTGCTTGAGCACGGGAGGTCAAGGTTGAAGTAAGCCAAGATCAGGCCACTGCATTCCAGCCTGGATAACAGGGTAAGATTCCATCTCAAAAAATTAATTAACTTTCTAAGAGATACATTAAAAAGGTAACGTGAAAGAGGTGAAATTAATTTTAATATTGTAGTTTGACCCACTATATCCAAAATATTACCATTTCAGAAGGTAACTGATATAAAATTAATGGGCTACTTTCTGACTTTTAAGATATAATTGATACAACTAAAATTTACTCATAAAAATTCAGTAGTTTCTAGTATATTCACGAAATTGTGCAACCATTACCATTAAATTTCAGAACATTTCAGCATCCCAGAAAGAAACCTTGAACAAATTAGCAGTCACTTCCCATTCTCTCCTTCCCCCAGCCCTAAGCAAAAACTAATCTAGTTTCTGTTTCACAGGATTTGCCTATTCTGGATATTTCATTAAAATGAAATAATATAATAAGTGGTATTTTGTGTCTGGCTTCTATTACGTTTTCAAGGCTTATCCCTGGTGTAGCATGAATCAATACTTCATTCCTTTTTTTAAAATTCAAAACTTTTTAGCCTTTAATGTTTTAAATATATACAAAATGCTGTACTGTATGTTTCTCCCTTTAAGACTTCATTCCTTTTTATGGCTGAATAATATTCCATTGTACACATATACAGTCAGCACTTTGCATCTACAGATTTAACCAACCAGATCAAAACTACTTTTTAAAACCCCATAACAAAAAAAAAAATACAAATTAAGAAATATAGTATAACAACTATTTACATAGCATTTACATTGTATTCAGTATTATACGTAATCTAGAGATGATTTAAAGTATATAGGAGGATGTGCATAGGTCATACACAAATACTACGCCATTTTACATAAGAGACTTTGGTATCTGTGTTTTTGGTATTCACGGGGGTCCTGGGACCAATCCTCTGAGGATACTGAGGAGATGGCTGCAATACATTTTGCTTATCCATTCATCAGTTAATGGATATTTGGTTGTTTCCATTTTTTGGCTATCATAAATAATGTGACTGTGAATATTCATATACAAGTCTTTATGCAGATATGTCTTCATTTTGGGGGAACTACACATCAAGGAGTGGAATTCCTGGGTCATATGCAACTCTATGCTTAACCATTTTAAGGAACTTCCAAACTGTTTTTCAAAATAGCTGAAGCATTTTACAATTCCATCATCAATGTTTAGGGGTTCCACTTCACATCTCACCCAGCACTTGTTATTGTCTCTTTTCTATTTTAGCCATTATAGTGGGTGTGAAAGTATATGCCATTTGGGGTTTTGGTGCTATTTTCTTAACATTTTAAAAAATTGTAGTAAAATACATACAACACAAATTTTTCCATTTTGACCCCCTTTTTTTGGGGGGGGGGAAGGAGTCTCACTCTGTCGCCCAGGTTGGAGTGCAGTGGCGTGATCTCCACTCACTGCAAGCTCCGCCTCCAGGGTTCATGCCATTCTCCTGCCTCAGCCTCCCAGTAGCTGAGACTACAGGCACATGCCACCATGCCTGGCTAATTTTTTGTATTTTTAGTAGAGACAGGGTTTCACCTTGTTAGCCAGGATGGTCTCGATCTCCTGACCTCATGATCCACCCACCTCGGCCTCCTGAAGTGCTGGGATTACAGGCATGAGCCACCAAGCCCGGACAGCTATTTTGACCACTTTTAAATGTACAATTTAGTGGCATTAATTTACAATATTGTGCAATCATCATCACTGTTTCCAACTCCCAAACAGAAACTATTATGGCCAGGCATGGTGGCTCACGCCTATAATCCCAGCACACTGGGAGGCCAAGGCAGGTGGATCACTTGACACCAGGAGTTTGAGACCAACCTGGTCAACATGGTGAAACTCCATCTCTACTAAAAATACAAAAATTAGCCAGGCATGGTGGTGCACACCTGTTGTCCCAGCTATTCAGGATGCTGAGGCAGAGAACTGCTTGAGCCTGGGAGGTGGGGGCTACAGTGAGCCGAGATTGCGCCACTGTACTCCAGCCTGGGCGACAGAGTGAAACTCTCTTAAAAAAAAAAAAAAAAAGGCCGGGCGCGGTGGCTCAACCCTGTAATCCCAGCACTTTGGGAGGCCGAGGCGGGTGGATCACGAGGTCAGGAGATCGAGACCATCCTGGCTAACATGGTGAAACCCCGTCTCTACTAAAAATACAAAAAACTAGCCGGGCGTGGTGGCGGGCGCCTGTAGTCCCAGCTACTTGGAGGCTGAGGCAGGAGAATGGCGTAAACCCGGGAGGCGGAGCTTGCAGTGAGCCGAGATCGCGCCACTGCACTCCAGCCTGGGTGACACAGCGAGACTCCGTCTCAAAAAAAAAAAAAAAAAAAAAGAAAAAAAAAAAAAAAAAAAAAGAAGAAGAAGAAAAAAAAGAAACTCGGCTGGGCGCAGTGGCTCACACCTATAAGTCCAGCACTTTAGGAGGCCGAGGTGTGAGGATCACATGAGGTCAGGAGTTTGAGGCCAGCCTGGCCAACATGGTGAAACCATGTCTCTCTACTAAAAATACAAAAATTAGCCAGGTGAGGTGGCACATGCCTGTAATCCCAGTTACTTGGGAAGCTGAGACAGGAGAATTGCCTGAACCTGGGAGGTGGAGGTTGCAGTGAGCCGAGACTGCGCCACTGCACTCCAGCCTGGGCAACAGAGCAAGACTCTTGTCTCCAAAAAAAAAAATAAATAAAATAAAATAAATAAATAAATAAATAAGTCTATTACCCTTAAGCACTAACTTCCCACACCTCCCATCCTTTGGCACGTGGTAGTTATACTGAATGTGATAAATTCAATTTATCTAACTACCTTCTGTCTATAATAATTTATTCACTCTAGATAAGTGGAATGCTACAGTATCTGTCCTTTTGCATTTGACTTGTTTCACTCCACATAATACATACTGGATTTTAAAGGTTCATCTATGTTGTAGCATGTATCAGAACTTCATTCCCTTTCACGGTTTTATAATATTCCATTGTATGTCTATGCTACATTTTGTTTCTCCATTCCCAGAGTTGTTTTCCTTTTTCTAATCAAGCATGGTTGTAGGGGAGACAATGTTAATCAGCTTAACAATAATGCACAACCCTCACATTAACTGTGGTTTTGAGATCTGCCTTAATAACTAATGTTGAGCATCTTTTCATGTGCTTACTGGCCATTTCTGAATCTTTTTTTGAGACATGGTCTCTCTGTCACATAGGCTGGAGTGTAGTGGTGTGATCTTTGCTTACTTCAACCTTGAGCCCTTGGGCTCAGGTGATTCTCCCACCTCAGTCTCCCAAGTAGCTGGGACTACATGTGCACACCATCACACTGAGCTAATGTTTTGTATTTTTAGTAGAGATGGGGTTTTACCATGTTGGCTAGGCTGGTCTTGAACTCCTGACCTCGGGTGACCCACCCACTTTGGCCTCCCAAAGTGCTGGGATTACAGACGTGAGCCACTGCACCCGGCCTTACTGTCTTCGAAATCCAGTATTTATTTTGTGTTTACAGCACATTTCAATTTTGACTACCCACATTTCAAGTGCTACACAGCTACATGTGACTCATGGGTTACCATATCACTCTATCTTTAGACCTTTAACTGGTTTCTGAATTTTTCTTAATTTGGATGACATTTTGCCTTGTTTTCGCTGCCTTCCCTTCACCTTCCCCCAATTAATTCTAGGTAACTATTCCTAATCTGTAACAGTTATAACAGCAAAAAGATGGCAAAATATAGCAGGTTACAAAATACTACGTAATGGTGTTTACAAATTTATATATTATATTTTTCCAAATATATAATCATAATGCTACTGCAAGTGATCACAATCAGCATGTGACTGTGAGGGCTTGCAGACAGTAAGTTATAATGTTTGTTGCCTAGAAGCACTATTTGTATAATTTACTCTATATGCTGAATGTCTCTCTTTAATTCTCAAGGATACTGAATAAACGATTATCGGTGCTAAGTATTCTGCTTCTCCCACTTCAGAATCTACCTAGTGATTTTAATCCATGAGAGCAATTTTCTTAGCTTAGTTTGTCAGTTCCTACAGTTTCCTGACTAAGCAGTTATTTGAAAAGAGTTCAGAAAGTGTCCTTTCAAATTGTTCTTTTGTTTGTATTTTTACAGTAATTCCATTCAATATAACTACCACTTGGAAATCCTACTATCACCCTCCCTTGACACATGGCCAGTTCAATAGATCTGGACTTCAGCAAGCAATGCTGCAATTCTAAGACTCATTTACAGGTCTTAATGCTAATGACTATCCTTTCATTTAATATGAATCAAGAAAGAAGTGGATATGAGAATGACAGTATATTTAAGAGTCATAACACATCACAAACTGGGTATCACTTCCACTCTAAAGAAAGAATAATACATCATTACTATGTGCCAGAACAAAACTAGCCTTGATTCAGCCTTCTTGATTCAGTTTCCTAATTGCAATAATCACATCATTCACTACATTAAGTAGCCAACTTCAGAGAATTATCAATGAAACCACTATGTGAATTTTCCCAGATGCAGACAGATACAATCTTAATACTGCTTCAATTAATTAACACAAAAATGTAACATCCTGAATGAAATCAGTCTTCCAAATAAGTACTACTCTCTTAGGTACCAAATACTCCTTATTTTGGAGCATTTATCCTTTTTGAAACAAAAAACACCAGATACTGATTTTTGCAACTAGGGCCTCACTTGTCTTCAAGCCTTAGAAGTCTATCAATATAATGACCACTTCGAGGTCTGTGATTCTACAGAATTGGCCTAACCCAATATCCCCAATGAGTCAGTGTCAAGTAAAAAGTAATTGTAACAGATTAAATGGGAATATAGATTAAGGGAAAAGCAATGCATAGTTTAAACAACCCAGTTGTAAAGACTATTTTTGAGACAACTAAGGAAAAGTACACTGGGTATCAGATGATATGAAGAAGTTTTTAAAATAAGAAAAAGTAAAAAATTAATAAATAAGAAAAAGTATAGTAAGCCAGGTACAGTGGTTCACATCTATAATCCCAGCACTTTGGGAGACTGAGGTGGGCAGATTACTTGAGGTCAGGAGTTTGAGACCAGGCTTGCCAATACAGCAAAACCCCATCTCTACTAAAAATATAAAAATTAGCCTGGCATGGTGGCGCATGCCTGTAATCTCAGCCACTCAGGAGGCTGATGCACAAGAATCTCTTGAATCTGGGAGACAGAGGTTGCAGTGAACTGAGATCACACCACTGTACTCCAGCCTGGACAAAAGAGTAAGAATCCATCTCGAAAAAACAAAACAAAACAAAAAAAACCCAAAAAACTGCTACGGCCTATAGTCTTACCTTGATAAAAACTAAGTAAGGAGAAGGCCGGGCGCGGTGGCTCAAGCCTGTAATCCCAGCACTTTGGGAGGCCGAGACGGGCGGATCACGAGGTCAGGAGATTGAGACCATCCTGGTTAATACGGTGAAACCCCGTCTCTACTAAAAAGTACAAAAAACTAGCCGGGCAAGGTGGCAGGCGCCTGTAGTCCCAGCTACTTGGGAGGCTGAGGCAGGAGAATGGCGTGAACCCGGGAGGCGGAGCTTGCAGTGAGCTGAGATCTGGCCACTGCACTCCAGCCTGGGCGACAGAGCGAGACTCCGTCTCAAAAAAAAAAAAAAAAACTAAGTAAGGAGAAAAACAACATAATATTTAAAAGCTCAAAAGTAACATCTCTATTTAAACTAGGTATCAAAGAGTAATCAATAGTTCTTCCTATCAAAAGAAATAATCTGAACAAAAACCTAAATAGGTGTATCTCAATCATTACACAGTAGATATCAGCACAATGTGATAGATGTTAATCTGTAATAGCCAGTGGATCATGAAGTGAGTTCTAGCCCATGTAATTGCCCAATCATGAAAAATGATGCTTATCATAAGAAATCCTAAAACAGCGCTGCAGTAATAACCTCACAACAAGCAACTCAAAATGAAATAGCAAAATAAACAGTGAACTAAAAACCCTAAAAACTTGTCTACCATTGTCTTGAGAGAGGTTTAGGCTATAATTATTTTATTAGTTACTCTATTTCATAAATCCTCACCTCTTTTGGAGTTTTATGAGCTGCACAAAGAAAAATCCATTGTTCAGTTGCTGTCATTTGTGTGCAAGTATCTGGATGGCATTCACTCTGTTAAAAATAATTAATTTCTTAATATGTAAAATAATAATGAAAAAGCTTATCATTTAGGTTACTATATTTCCATAACAAATTCTAGAAGTTAGAAATTTGGAGAAGTTTTTGTAAGCACATTAAGCTATAAAAACAGAGAAAAAAAATCAGAACTTTCAATTACAACTTTGACTTAAAGAAAATATTACCTGAAGTTTGACAGCAAGTCCATTTAGCTCAAGGCAGAACTGCCTGAAAATGCAAATACATAAATAAAAAGTCATTATCTATTCTCCACAGCAATTTTTAGAATATTAGCTGCAAAACGAGAAGCCCATCAGTATCATTCCTCCTCCCTCACTACCATTATCAAAACCAGCTGAACAGACGACGACACATTTCTTCTAAAGGCTTACAGATTAAAAATAGAAAACCAATAACTCTCATAACATTCAATACCAGAGTTCAGTGAGCGGATCATTCTCTTATATACTAGAAATTAGTACAATTTTTCAGGGAAGTAATTTGGAAATATTTACCAAGACTTTTAGGAAGTGTATACTTTTTGACTAAGTCATTCTTCTAAGAATCTATTGTAATGAAATAATCAGATCTGCATGCAGATAAATGTATAAACATGTTCACAGGAGTTATATATGCATATAAGAAAATTTCTGAATTGTAGAAAAATTCAGCAACTGGAGGGTAATAAAATGTTGGTATACAGAAACACACAAAGAAATTACAGCAGGGCACAGTGGCTCAGGCCTGTAATCCCAACACTTTGGGAGGCCGAGGCAGGCGAATCACCTGAGGTCAGGAGTTCAAGACCATCCTGGCCAAAATGGTGAAACTCCATCTCCACAAAAATACAAAAATTAGCCAGGCATGATGGTGATGCCTGTAATCTCAGCTATTTGGGAGGCTGCCAAGGGAGAATTGCTTGAACCTGGGAGACAGAGGTTGCAGTGAGCCGAGATTACACTACTGCACTCCAGCCTGGGCGACAGAGTAAGGCTCCATCTCAAAACAAAAACAAAAACAAAAACAAAATTACATTACAATTACATTAAGGCCATCAGTTTTAGACAGTTATGTGATAAAAAGACAATCTTCTATGTCACAAAGACAGTTTTATAGCTGTCAAAATACTGAACGTGTTCCCTCCAAAAGTCCTACCTATCAATACTTAGTTCAATGTATCAAGTTAGATAAATCAATACTATGTTTCCTCATCAGAAAAAATTGAATCATTTTGGTTCCCAAAACAATGCAAAGCTAAAACCTATATAATCAGAAGACAAAAAAAAAAAAATCCCTCCAAAAAAGAAAAAAACCAGGATATATATGAACAAATTTGGTAGGAAAAACTTTAGTTACTGCACACTGTAACAGAAGAAAACAAAAAGGCAAGAGTCAAATTTTCAGTTGTTTGTAACTGCATTTCCTTTCCAGATGCCTAATAATGCTGTCCTTAGATTACAAAAATAACATTATTTCTAAATCACCATATCACCGTCTACTGCCCCCTATCAAGTAGGCTGCATGTTATGTGTTTTTTAGTTGTTTTCCACTAAGTGGTAATAAAGACTGGTTGTGATAAGTTTCTTACCTAACCTAACCCTTTTACAGCCAATAGCAAAATTAAGTTGATTCAGCAGTGCTGTGGGTATCATCTGTGGCAAACAATGCAAAACTTACAGCTTCAAGTTAATTTAATACAGGGCTAACATGTATACAGTTGTGCAGCTGAAGAGACCAACCAGAGCTGGAATCCAGCCTACATTCCAGGAACCACACATGTATCCTGGCATATAGGAGTAGCTTTTCCTAATCATTAAGACTCGATATGAGTTAGTGGGAGATTTGACTGAAGTCATGACCCAATTCAAATTAACATCATTATATAATCAACTACATTAACTAACAATGGCAAGTGTACAGCCTCAAATCAATAAAGGATATATGCAAAAACAAACAAACAAACAAAACTCTTCCTGGTCAACTAATAAAAATATACACAATACAATAAAGAGATAAAAGAACATATACATGATAGTCCAAAAAGTGGTCAGCAGAAAAAAATAACAAAAGTAAAAATAGCATCAGAACAAATGAAATACTTGTGAGCAATATTTTATGTGAAGTTTTATGTAATGTTTTATATAATGTATGTTTCATAGAATAAGTTCAATAGGGAGGTAAATGTTTTCTTAGACCTGGAAAAAAAAAACTCTTGTACACTAAAATCAGCCCTTATTTGTTAGGAATTATGCTTGTAATGGAAAAAAAGGCCAACCACAGTGGCACACGCCTGTAATCCCAGCACTTTGGGAGGACAAGGCAGGCGGATCACGAGGTCAGGAGAGCAAGAACATCCTCATCAACATGGTGAAACCCCGTTTCTACTAAAAATACAAGAATTAGCTGGGCATGGTGGCGTGCGCCTGTAGTCCCAGCTACTTGGGAGGCTGAGGCAGGAGAATTGCTTGAACCTGCGTGGCGGAGGTTGCAATGAGCCGAGATCACATCACTGCACTCCAGGCTGGTGACAGAGCGAGACTTGAGACTCCTGTCTCAAGAAAAAAAAAAAAAAAGAAAGAAAGAAAGAAAAAGAAAAAAACATGCTCACCTACTTTCATCATTAATGCCAAAGCATAAGAAAGCAGTTATTTTCAAGGTTTAAAGCAAAGGATGTACTACATTGAAGTGCTGTCTTGGGTTGTAAAAATGGGAAAATACCTACAAACTCATCTTTCAATTATTGTGCATTCAGATATGTAAAAAAGTTAGAAATAGTCAAGTCATTTGTCTAAAAATCAGCAAAGGGTACAAAGAAGTCTTAGCATCCTGAAATCGCTGAACTGTTATGACACGACATAATGTCTTGGCCATATCTAAAGAAGCATGCAGCATCAAAAAGTAAGTATTTTTTAAAAGTGCCTTGTCTTCAAGTTGAGACACACAACACAGGAAACATGGTCAAATTTATTCAGGAAAAGTCATATTTCTACTCTACTTATCTAAAAATCAACTTACAAATAATAAGCCCCAATGAACACATACTGCACTCTCTATATTTATTAATAATCTGTCAACTCATCCCAGCTCCCATTTGCACTGGAAAATTTATAATTTCAAGAAACACCTAGTAACTTCAGAATATATCTACTTCTAAAGTTATCTCCACCTATCCACTAGTTATCAATTTTTTCATTCAAAGGGTATTACAAAAAGTACCAAAACTCCTTACTTCAGGATTACAATTAATCTCTGTTTACCAAACACAAGACTGGAAGTTTGCAATAATTTACAGGTAACTTATCAGATACCAAGCCTAGACTAGGAACCAGAAGTAATCCTCCACAAAAACATAAAGTGACCAAGTGCAGTGGCTCATGCCTGTATAATCCCAGTGCTCTGGCAGGCCGAGAGGGGAGGATCACTTGAGCCCAGGATTTCAGGACCAGCTTGGACAACACAGTGAGACTCCATCTCTACAGAAACAAAGGGGGGAAAAAAAAAGACAAGTCGGGCACGGTGGCTCACGCATGTAATACCAGCACTTTGGGAGGCCGAGGCAGGCGGATCATGAAGTTAGGAGTTCGAGACCAGCCTGGCCAACATAGTGAAACCCCATCTCTACTAAAAATACAAAAATTAGTCGGGCATAGTGGCACGTGCCTGTAGTCCCAGCTACTCAGGAGGCTGAGGCAGGAGAATCACTTGAACCCGGAAGGCAGAGGTTGTGGTGAGCAGGGATTGTACCACTGCACTCCAGCTTGGGTGACGGAGTGAGACTCTGTCTCAAAAAAAAAAAAAGACAATAGATGACACAAAGTTATGCATAAATGGGGAAATGGCAATACCGTATTAGTGGTTAAGAGATACAATTAAGGAAAACCATGAAATAAGATAATAAAACCCAGGCTGGCATGGTGGTAATCCCAGCACTGTGGGAGGCCAAGGTGGGCAGATTGCTTAAGCCCCAGAGTTTGAGACCAGCCTAGGCAACATGGTGAAACCCTGTCTCTACAAAAAATACAAAAAACTAGACAGGCTTAGTGGCATTCACTAGTAGTAGTCCCAGCTACTCAGGAGGCTGAGATAGGAGGATTGCTTCAGTATGGGAGACAGAGGCTGCAACGCGCCAAGATTGCACCACTGCACTCCAGCCTAGGCAACAGATCAAGACCCTGTTTTTTTAAAAAAAAAAAAAAAGGTGGGGATAATAAGGCCCAAATCAATAAATGTAGAAAGGGTGGCTCAATACTTTGGGAGGATAAGGTAGGAAGATTGCTTGAATCCAGGAGATTGAGACTAGCCTGGGCAACATAATGAGATCCTGTCTCTATAAAAAACTAAAAACATTAGTGAGGCATGCTGGCACACGCCTGTATCCCAGCTACTCTGGAAGCTGACGTAGGAGGATCACTTGAGCCTGGGAGGTAGAGGCACAGTAAGCAGTGATTGCACCACTGCACTCTAACATGGGCAATAGACTGAGACTCCATCTCAAAAAAAAAAGAAAAGTAGAGAGGTGCAGAGGCAGGTCCAAGTTATCAGCTCTGAAACCACCTTTCAAAACGAGTGACTCTGTAGCATACTTTGATCTGGAAACAACCAGTGAAGAAAGCTGAGAACCTTGTGACACTGAAAATGCCAAAGCTTTAAAATTTGGCTTCTTAGTCTGCAGTTACATAGTAAATTTTACGATTCATAATTATCATTAATATGAAAGTTAGTTTCGTGAGAGGAACTATTAGTATTTTGATGTAACATAAGGACCTACCTTAAATGTTCATACTTCCACACACCTTCATCTTGGCCTTCAGGTGGTTCAAGAATTTTGTCAATATTGGAGCAATCTGCTCTTATGTTCTGTTGAATATACTAAAAACAAAGAAGTTCTTATGGTTAATTAAATTATACCACCTGGTAAATCTTATATTAAGTACATATAATTTTTGAATACGTAACTGCTCTTGTGGTTCAACTTGGGTTATACACTAAATAGGAAACCAAGTATAGAATCATAATCAGTAACTCAGAAAAAAGTAGGTTACCCTTACTTATTTACTTATTTATCCTTCAATTCAACTTCATTTGTATAGAATCTACTACATAAATGCAGATATTGTATTTGTCAGGACTGTAACTGGGATCAAAATTGCAAACTGTAACTTTTTTTTTTTCTTTTTTTTTGAGACAGGGTCTCACTGCATCACCCAGGCTGGAGTACAGTGGCACAATCTCAGATCACTGCAATATCCACCTCCTGGGCTCAAGCAATCCTCCCAACTCAGCCTCCTGAGGAACTGGAACTACAGGCACACACCATCACGCTGAGCTCACTTTTCTGTATTTTGTAGATACAGGATTTCGCCATAGGCAATGTAAATATAACTATGGTACATATTGTGATTCCGTTTATACGAAGTGTCTAGAATAAGAAAATCTATTGAGACAGAAAATAGATTTGTACCGGCGTAGGGCTTGAGGGCAGAGAGGAAGGCAGAGGAGACCAAAGATGGCTGCTAATGGGGATGAGTTTTCCTTTAAGAAAGGATAAAAATGTTCTAAAGGCCAGGCATGGGGGCTCATGCTTGTAAGGCCAGCACTTTGGGAGGCCAAGGCGGGCAGATCACGAGGTCAGGAAATCAAGACCATCCTGGCTAACACGGTGAAACCCTACCTCTACTAAAAATACAAAAAAAATTTAGCAGGGCATGGTGGTACACACCTGTAGTCTCAGCTGCTCCGGAGGCTGAGGCAAGAGAATCGCTTCAACCCAGGAGGCGGAGGTTGCAGTGAACCGAGATCGCGCTACTGCACTCCAGCCTGGGCAACAAAGCGAGACTCCGTCTCAAAAACAAAACAACAAAAAAAAGTTATAAAATTAGACTGTAGTGATGGCTGTGCAACCCTGTGAATATAATCACTCTAACTGTACAGGGATTTGTATGGTACGTTCATTAGACCCAATAAAAGTTGTTTTAAATAACTAAGTTTAAAAAAAAGGCAAGGGAGGGTCACTTTCAATTTTTAAAATGTAATAACACAAAAATTTAAATTTCAGATCTCTGTAATGCTTTATGCAATCTTTTTGATATTCTGAAATCTGAATAGGTTAGAGTAAAAGGGTGGTTACAAAAACTAACTATAAGGCCTTCTTGAGCCAATCAATTTTGCCTACTTCAGACAATCTTTCTTAAATATCACTTGGGTACTCAAAAACTTCTTTTCCCAAACAAAAGGTCTCACATATTTAGTACTGAACCAGCCTACTGCAGAGCATAGAAACCAAAAGAAAAACCATTGTTCCAATACAGCATGTCCAGCTGTCCAGATGATGGTGACATTTTCAGCTTGATATGGTGACATGATAGTGATCTTGATACAATATTAAATATGTGTGCCATCTCATGTAAAAATTCCTTCTAGACCCAGTTTGGTTTTTTTTCCAATGTGTCCTCTTAGAATTGTACCTGATTTTATTACTCAGTTTTCATCTGAATCCACTGGGGAATGCAACGATTTTGCTTTTGTTTCTTGGTTGGGAATCACTTGATTCTAAAAGTCTTGTGGGAAGGCATGGCAAAGAACAGAGTCATGCACACACACCACGATGACAGGGAAAGGGATCAAACACTTTTTTTTTTAGATGGAGTGTTGCTCTTGTTGCCCAGGCTGGAGTGCAATGGCTCGGCCTTGGCTCACCACAACCTCCGCCTCGCGGGTTCAAGCGATTCTCCTGCCTCAGCCTCCTGAGTAGCTGGGAATACAAGCACCCGCCACCCCACCTGGCTACTTTTTGTATTTTCTGTGGAGACGGGGTTCACCATGTTGGTAAGGCTGGTCTCGAACTCCTGACCTCAGTGGATCCACCCACTTCGGCCTCCTGAAGTGCCGGGATTACAGGCGTCAGCCACCGTCCCCAGCCTCAAACACGTTTTAATCACTCTTTAATTATTACTGAAACCACTCTCCCTGATATTTTTTATCTCATCCTAATGTTTCAAAGTTTTGATTCTCTCTCTCCTTGAGGAGATACAGGTAAATTGTATACCTTCTCCACAGGCCACCTCAAATTCCATGTCACAATTCTGTCCAAATCTCTCATTCCCCTAATACACTCAAGCACTCCCTGATTATTCGAATCCTCACAGAACTCCATCCGATTTCCTGCCATATTTGTAATTTGTATACATTAGCAATCTGTCTATTCATTTTTGTCTTTCCTGTTCCCACTACACCTTCTATGGATAGAACTTTTTTTTGTTTTTGAGATAAGAGTCTCACTCTGTCACCCAGGCTGGAGTGTAGTGGTGCAATCTCAGCTCACTACAACTTCTGCCTTCCGGGTTCAAGTGATCCTATCGTCTCAGCCTTCGGAGTAGCCGGGATTATGGGGATGCGCCACCATGCCCAGCTAATTTTTGTATTTTTAGTAGAGGCGGGGTTTCACCATGTTGGTCAGGCTGGTCTTGAAGTCCCGACCTCAAGTGATCCACCTGCCTCAGCCTCCCAAAGTGCTGGGATTACAGGCGTAAACCACCGCACCTCACCTTCTATGGCTAGAACTCTTAGCAGCATTTATTTCACACTTAATAGCACAACTTACTAGCGCTTACTTTCATGTGTCTCCTTCATATAGCGAGTCCCCGAACACAGAGACTTTTATTTATTTATTTATTTTTGAGATAGTTTCGTTCTGTCACCCAGGCTAGAGTGCAGTGGCGCTATCTTGGCTCACTGCAACCTCTGCCTCCTGGATTCAATCAATTCTTCTGCCTCAGCCTCCCAAGTAGCTGGGATTACAGGTGTGTGCCACAACACCTGGCTAATTCAAGACTGCCTAGGCTAATTCAAGACCACCTAAGCTAGTTTTGAACTCCTGGGCTCAAGCAATTATTCCACCTCAGCCTCCCAAAGTAATGGGATTACAGGCATGAACCACTGGGCCCAGCCCAATTTTAATTATTTAACCATATATTTAGAAACTGACTTTACATATATAATTACTAAATTTTGTTATTAAGTGGAGTTACAAGCCTCAATCTTGAAGACATCTAGAATCGTTTTATTGATACCAATTTATGTAAAGCAAAAAAGAAATCCTTAACTTAGAAATAAAACAAAAATGTCATTTTGGCGAGTCACAATGGCTCACTCCTATAATTCCAGCACTTCAGGAGGCAGAGGCGGGCAGATCACCTGAGGTCAAGAGTTCAAGACCAGCCTGGCCAACATGGTGAAATCCCGTCTCTATTAAAAATACAAAACCTGGCTGGGCATGGTAGCACACACCTGCAATCCCAGCTACTGGGAGACTGAGGCAGGAAAATCACTTGACCCTGGGATGTGGAGGTTGCTGTGAGCAGCAATCATACACTATTGCACTCCAACCTGGCAGTGAGACTCTATTTCAAAAAAAAGTCATTGTTTTCTATAATGAGTCCTCCACACTTTTATGCAATAGAGGCAACTATCATTTTTTTAAAAATGAGCTAAGAAGGCTGGATGAGGTGGCTCCCGCCTATAATCCTAGCATTTTTGGGGGCCAAGGCAGGTGTATCACAAGGTCAGGAGTTTGAGAGCAGCCTGGTCAATATGGTGAAACCCCATCTCTAATAAAAATACAAAAATTAGCCGGGCATGGTAGCACATGGAGGTTGAGGCAGGAGAATCGCTTGAACCCAGGAAGCAGAGGTTGCAGTGGGCCGAGATCATGCCACTGAACTCCAGCCTGGACAACAGAGCAAGACTCTGTCTCAAAAAAAAAAAAACATACTTGAAGAAATAATGCTAAAAAGTTTCCAAGTTTGTAAAAAGATTTAAGCTTGCAAATTCAAGAAGCTGAGTAGGCTGGGAAAAAAAAGAGGAATAGGAAATTACTGTTTAATATGTATAGAATTTCAGTTGGGGAAGATAAAAAATTTCTGGACACGGATGGTGGTTATGGTTGCACAATGGAAATGTACTTAACGCCACAGAACTGTACACTTTAAAATAGCAAAAACGATAAATTTTATGTCTCATATATATTGCCACAATTAAAAAAAAAAGCTGAGTGAACATCAAACAAGATAACCCCAAAGAAATCTACATCCAGACACATCATAATCAAATGGCTAAAACCCAAAAATAAGTCCAGGTGTGGTAGCTCAGATCTGTAATCCCAGCACTTTGGAAGACCAAGGCAGGAGGATCACTCAAGCCCAGGAATTAGAGATCAGCTTGGGCAACATAGTAAGACCACAAAATATAAAAATTAGCCAGGCATGGTAATGTATGCCTGTAGTACCAGCTACTTGAGAGGCTGAGTTGGAAGGATTGCTTGAGCCCCTTAGGAAGTCCAGGCTGCAGTGAGCCATGATCATGCCACTGTACACCAGCCTGGAATGAGAGAGTGAAACCTTGTCTCAAAAAAAAAAAAGAAAAAAGAAAAAAGAAAACACCACTAAAGAAGACAGAAGAGGCCGGGCGCGGTGGCTCAAGCCTGTAATCCCAGCACTTTGGGAGGCCGAGATGGGCGGATCACGAGGGCTCAGGAATCGAACATCCTGGCTAACACGGTGAAAACCCCGTCTCTACTAAAAAATACAAAAAAAACTAGCCGGGCAGGGTGGCGGGCGCCTGTAGTCCAGCTCTCGGGAGCTGAGGCAGAGAATGGCGTGAACCCGAGAGGAGGAGCTTGCAGTGAGCTGAGATCCGGCCACTGCACTCCAGCCTGGGTGACAGAGCAAGACTCCGTCTCAAAAAAAAAAAAAAAAAAAAGAAGACAGAAGAATCTGAATGACGGCTTCTTTCTCCATCAGAAACCATGGAAGCAAAATGGCAAAACATTTTTAAAGTGCTGAAAGACTTAGCAGGCTGAGGCAGGAGGACTG